AAGAAAGACACAAAACACAAAACATAAAACAAAACAAAACGGTTCCTCTTGCATTTTAGAAAGGTTAAATTTCCAATTTGATCTCTCAACCATTGTACAGATCTTTGATTTAATTCTTAAACTAAAAAAATATCTGATTTGGTCCATAATATTTATCGATTTAGCTCTAGGTTGAGCTTTCTGTACAAAAACAGATGACGTATCTCATTATTAATGTGACACGTGACAATTAAGTAACAATTTTTTACTTTTAAATAATGGATACATCAGTTATTTTTTAATGGAAGAACCAACTTGAGGTCCAATTGATAAACAGTAGGGACTAAATAAGGGGTCCGTATAATAGTTGAGATACCAAATTATGGATTTTTTTAGTTTAGAGACCGAATCAAGAGTCTGTACAATAATTGAGGATCAAATTGAGGGTTTAACCTTTTAGAAACTTCCGCTTGTCAGCAGGTCTGATAGGGTTTCCAACGTTGCTATAAGCAAAGGGCATGGTCTTTTCCTCTCCACATTTCCTAGGGTTTTAGCTGCCGATTTCTGCACAGATCGCCATGGGTTGAAGTTATGAGATAGATTAAGAGTCAGAGAATTATCTGCTTGTGTTCAGCTCCTCTCCGAAATTTTATAGGAAATTATAGTCGGCAATATCAGATCGACCTTTGTGGGTTACTTTTGGTTTCTTTTTGGCTGATTTCTATTGTTTGTGTCTGATTGATGGTGGTTTATTCTTCCAGCTTATATGATTTCTATTTCATTCATTATTATTTTATCTTGACTAGGGTTTTATTTATTTATTTATTTTAAATTCTTCTTTGACACTACAAGAGAAAGGGATTTTCATGATAAAAATTTGTGACAAATTCTCAAATTGTTACTATAACTATGACAAATTTTAAAAATTAATTACAAATGTGTACATATTCAATAATGATAAAAAAATTTATCATTTAAAAAAATATTTTATTACTACCATACATTCATAAAGGAAATATAGACTTACAATAAAAAAATTTATCATTACAATTCATCACAATTATAACAAGTTTAAAATTTCATTAGTTTGTGAGGAAGAGGAAAGAAACCAAATCCAGAGATTAGCCTTGTTATGTTCTTCTGTGTTTTATCAGCTCCCATGGCTTACAAAATTCTTACATTTCTAGTTATTGTCTCTGCTTCAATCTTTGATGTCAGAATATCTGATTTTGTGCTCAAAGATTTTGAGTCTACCGTCAGGAATTGATCTGTTCTTATGGTTCGTTCGAATCCCATGTTGAGTAACGTGTCCCCAAATAGATTTTATTGCACTTGACTTGGTTTACGCTTTATCATTTTTGGTTTTGCAGGACCAGCTACGTGTTATCGTCGGATCAAAAACAAGCCTTACCCAAATTCGCGCTATTCATTTTTTGGTTTCAAATGAATAGTAGCCTTGCTGGGTTTAAACTTTTTTTTTTTTTTTTTTGAAAAGTAGCATCCAATTTGAAACCTAATTGGGTTGGGTGGGTGCCCTTTTTTGAAAAATGAACATCCAATTTTTACGAACTGAAATTGAGAGAGAGAGAGAGAGGTGTGGTGTGGATGATGTTTTTATTCCTGGGCTTTCCGTTAAAAGGTAACTGGGCCTCCAACTGAAGACGGGTGAAGGGATCAAGGTAGGTGGGCCACGAAAAGTCCTTCAGGCTCCAGCACAATCCGGGCCCCGAAGAAAAGCTAGCTGGATAGTGGAATAATCAATAGTGGATTACATAGAGTGAGCCCAGGCCTAGCTTTTACCATTAGCTTACGCAATAGCTAATCATGCTCACGTTCATGTGTTGGGCAGGGGAATTGGACGTTCTGAACGATTCACACAGGCCTCATATTTTCATTGTTGGTTGAGAAAAATATCATCAATTAGAATTTTCAAAGCTCATGCTTTTGAGAACGTACGGCATGACTAACACAACCAAAGTCTAATCCGTAACCACTGAGAGTGACTCCACAGAAATTAGACAGCAATTGTCCCTCACCCTCTTCTTTTCCCTACTTTTGATAGCCACGTACAACTTAACAAGCCCGCAGGAAGTCAATTGCCAAGCCCATCGAGAGAAGCTGAAAGCTGCCTTTCAAAATTTTAGAATCTCAAGAATTAAATTTGGATGAATCATTTGTGATGGGATGAAAACTGTAGGTATGGCCATCATCATCGTCAACAAATTTTCAATTTTTTCTTTATTTTTTATTTTTTGGTTGCAGACAACAGAGACTTGAAACAATATATCAATATAGGAATTAATTTTTATTATGAGAGCTCGCCATGTTATGTCACTAGACTTTTGACTTTTTATCTTTTCTGTTAAATTGAAAGCTTTTATTAGCTTCAATTCTCACAAAAATCAAGAATTTAAATTGCGCAAAGTCAAAACCCTCCTTTTAATTCAGTAGCTTTCTAATATACGCTATGAAAATCGAAGAGGAAAGATACGGACGTTCACACCTCCACCATCATCAATTCCGCCACCTTCCTCATCATAGATGACCAGGTCGCCACCTTCCTCATGCATGGATGACCAGGTCAGACTCAGACTTCGATTATATCTTCTCATTTTCATTTCATGTTGCAGAACCTCTCCTCTCGTCTCTACAATTTTATCTTTCTACACGGTAATGTTTTATTTTCTTTTTATCTTCCCAAACCTCCTTGCTATTTCTTTTACAATTATATATAGCAATGCTTCATTGTCTCTTTAGCTGTCTGTCCCACACAGGAATTTTGCATTTATCTGAATGAATACAAATTAAAGTTGTTTTCCTTTTCCGAGGAAAAAAGGGGTTAAATTTTCAGTCTTCGTTGCTCTCTTCTTATGCTGAAAGACAGACTCCCATTTCTGGTTATGTGTGTATAGATCGGAGATGCTTCACAACTCTGGTGTACTCTGCTATCTTGGGATGTCCAAAACAAAACTCTGTGTCCTTCTGGGCTGCTTCTTCTTGTCTTCAGCGCTTGTTGGAGCACAAAGTTCCAAAACTTATCCAGATGAAGGTAGCTTTTTTGTGTCTTGATTCAATAGTAGAGGCCACAAGGCGATTTTGCTTGAGCTTCTGCCATTTGCCCTCGCTGTTTTTTTTTTTTCAGAGAATGCCTAAGAGTTTACATTAATTGTGCCTTAAGAATAGGACTATGTTTAAGCACTTTTTGAGAGATATGATGCATACGTGTAAATACTACCAAGCATGTATACTAGGCTCTATTCTCTTTAAAGTCTAGTAGTAGTAGCTTGCACTTTTATCTTGTCTGGTTTGATTTACTCTTTCATATTCCAAAATCATCTAACATTCATTTAGATGAATTAATTAATGTTAATTTCAATTTGCAGTGAGCGCATTGCGAACCATTAAGAGAAGTTTGACAGATCCCAATAAAAGTTTGACTAGTTGGAATCGAGGAGATCCATGCACATCCAATTGGACTGGAGTTTCATGCTCTAATACACCCCTAGATGATGGCTATCTGCATGTCATAGAATTGTAAGCTTTAGTTATCAATTTCGTTTTGCATGGTTATGGACAAATTACCCATCACTGCAGTCATTCCACCAAGATATATAGGTCTAGGTACTAATCTGGACACTTGCTAAACATCATTGAAAAGTTGCTGCCACAATCCCTTCACCATATCATAGCACTTAACTGGTTACTGCTATTTTGTTTTTATGACAAGAATTTTCTCAACGTCTGCAAACCCACAAAAACTAGATATCGACTTCTAGTAAACTTTCACTTGATTGGTTTTGGATAATTTTACTAATTAACAACTATGCTATATTGCTTCATTTTTTTATTTTGTTTCATGCAGGCTACTACTGAAGATGAATCTTTCAGGAACTTTATCACCAGCACTTGGCCGCTTGTCTCATCTATTGATATTGTGAGGCTAAGCATATTATGAAAGCTACCTTTATCTCAATCCTTCATGGTAAATTTATAATTTTTCACCTAATGATGATTTATCATTCTTTTGCATTGTAAAAGGGATTTTATGTGGAACAAAATTAGTGGGATTATACCAAAAGAGATTGGCAATATCACAACCTTGGAGCTCTTGTAAGTTAAATTTATTTAACAATATATGATTGTTTGGTTCATTTCCAATCTAATTATCAATATTGTAAGACTGTGCATATCTGCATCAAATTTTCTTATTTGCTCATTTAGAAGTGGTATTCTACTTTACAGGCTCCTGAATGGGAACCAACTGACAGGTTCCTTGCCTGATGAGCTTGGCTATCTGCCAAATCTAGACAGGATTCAAATTGACGAGAATAACATATCTGGACCAATACCGACATCATTTGCAAACTTAAACAAAACAAAGCATTTGTAAGGGCATTTCTGAAATAGCCACCACTAGTGTCCCTTGTTATTTTCACTTTGCCTACCTTTTTATATTGTCAATCTATTCCTTATCTTCTTTCTACTTTTGAGCAGTCACATGAATAACAATTCAATTAGCGGACAAATCCCCCCGGAGCTCTCCAAATTACCAAACCTTGAACACATGTAAGTTTATCATTGGTTAATTTCTCCTATTTAATTTAGTCTTGTGATAAATATCCGTAGCATTAACTTATCTGTGATTATGTGCAATTCAGCTTCCTTCTAAGGCTCCATTCATTTTTTTCTTATGCAGCCTTCTTGACAATAACAATTTATCAGGGTATCTTCCACAAGAGCTTGCCCAAATGCCAAATTTAACCATCCTGTATGTTTTCTTATTTTCTTGGAAATATTTTGATATGGATTAATGCTTCTAAGTAATTTATTCTGATTGTTGTGGGATGTCTAAATGAAAACGTAAACGGAGAATGAGAGCTATATATTGTACCTTGTTAGTTATTCAAGACAAGGAGGAAAATAATAGGATGGAGCTGAGGTATTTATATATAAAATGCAAACATGAACATTTTTTTTTCTCATTCGTAAAGTCCATAGTTACATTTGTTCTGTATATTTTTCTTCTATTGATCATTCTTTTGTTGAATATATATATATATATATATATATATCTTTATAATTTTACATGAAAATGCTTTTACATTTCAGATTTCAATTGATAATCTCTTTGATTTCCTTAATAGCTTCCATTTCTACCTTTTGTAGTCAACTTGACAATAACAACTTTGATGGGGCTACTATTCCTGGATCATTTGGAAACATACCTACATTATTGAAGTTGTAAGTGCTTACTGGAACCCTATCTTGGCATTATATAGATTTAGAAGGTAGAGATGAGAAGACAAGTGCTACCATCTTATTAATATATTTATACGGGATACATATCAGACTACACATTTGAAATTTCTGTAAAGCAATATTTACATAGTTTCACCATTACAAGCAAGCGAAGGTTAAAAATCATAAGTAATAGAACATGAAACAATGAAATTTCTCTAAAGCTATATTTACATCAAAGAGAAACTAATAAAACTTGGAAGGATAATTTTCAGAGTGAAATTAGGTTTTGCTTACACAACTAGGATGAAATGCAAATATTATAAACATGAAATACCTTAAATACTATACAACTAAAAAAATAAATGTCATATAGCTATCCATAATAATTTTAACTTGAATTGAAAATGACTATTGGGGAGCATATGTGGACTTGAAGGTGTGTGGAATTTTGTGATGTTGAATATTTTTGTTGGTTAAATTATCAGGAGTCTCAGGAACTGCAAGTTGCGAGGATTAGTACCTAACTTAAGCGGAATACCCAACCTTGGTTATTTGTAAGTTCATGTGTTGGTTTCTCATGACGGAATGACTTTCCTATTAGATAATTAAATTTAACTCTTATTTCTATTTCTTTTATATAAATTTTAGAGACTTGAGCTCAAACCAACTAAGTGGACCCATACCTGCAAGTAAGCTCTCTAATAGTATCACAACCATGTAAGATTCTCTCTCTAGCAATGTACACATTTTTGCTGATTTGCTTGCTTTAAGATTTTGAAAATACTCACTTTAGATTACAATTCCTTTGTGTGATTCCATGATTTTTTACATTTTGTTGTCTGGAAATCTGTATAGTGATTTATCCAACAATAATCTCACTGAAACCATTCCTGCCTAGTTGTCTAGTCTACCTCTTCTCCAAAAACTATAAGCATTTTCCACTTGGTCTCCTCCAATTTGTTTCTTGCCTTGGTGAATACTAGAAATTAAGTTAGTAGCTAATTGCACTACTTGACATTTTGTTGTTTGGAAATATGTATAGTGATTTATCCAACAATAATCTTATTG